AAATATATTACATAATAAAAAGTTGTGTATATTTCTTTCCATCCATGTATGTGTATGTATGTATAGATATATATGTATGTGTGTGTATATATATATGTATATGTGTGTATATATATATATATATATGCATGTGTGTGTGTGTATTACTAACCAGTGTTGGCATGGGGGAGGGGAAGTAAATACCCTCACACTCTTCTGGTGAAAGAGTAAACTAAAGCAATTTTCTGTAGAGCAATTTAACAGTATGTTTAAGAGGAATTTTTAATACTAAAAATGTATACAGTGCAATCTTTGAGCAAGCAAGTCCACTGCTAGAAATTTATCCTAAAGGGACAAGTTAGCAATTTTGAAAATGTCTTAAAATGCACTGGAGTACAGTATATATATATATATATATATATGTATATATATGTATGTGTGTGTGTATATATGTATATGTATTGGGAGGCTGAGGTGGGAGGATCATATATGTATGCATGTATATAAATACACATATACATATATATGTATATATGTATGTGTGTGTATATATACATATACCTATATACACACACACATATATACACACACACATATATGTATAGAAATGTTTACAGAGCTTCCTCTGGGTAACGAGATGGTGATAATTATTCTTACTTTTCTGCATTTCTAGCTTTTCTACAATAAACAAGTGTTTAGCATGTAATAAAGCAATGAAAGCTTAAAGAACAAAGGTCACTGATGATTCAAATAGAAAAAGACTCAATTCAGAGAAGTTTTTAACATGTTAGTCTTAGAAAACAAATTTTCCTATTCGGTGCTTAAACAAGGGTTCAGCAAGGAGGCCTCTCTGGCTTCACAGCAACCTGCACTGGTCTTTTGTACAGATCCTGGAGGAGTGGCTTGCTCTGGACCGTACTAACCTCGAGTAGTGAGACTGTTTTATGTTTAGGTGCCAACATTCTGGTTAACTTTCCAGACCCTCAGTTCATTGAGAGCCTCTGAACAGGAAACATTTGGTCAAGAAGGCCAAGTTGAAACTGGCTTTATTCCATAGTGTTCTCACCTCCTTACAGATGAGGCTGTGGGTTTTGTCCTATATTATATAGTTTCCACAAATTCCCTTGGGAAGAGGGAGCAGAGGAGTGTTTCTGTTTTCAGCGCTTCCTAAATGCAAACATAACACACATTCCAGGCAAAGGTAGTTGTGAGCTGCGGGTTGGGGGAGTCAACAGCTGCAGATGTTTTTCAGCCATTCTCAGCTTCTGGAGAGCTCTTCTCTACTAGAGCTATAAAATGAAATCTGGCTGATGCCATCCAGGAGATGCTGCGTGTATTACAGAGCCTCAAGGGGCTCCAACCCCTAACATCAAGCAACTCTTTCCGGATCCTCTGACGCATAAGGAATTGAGGGTAAGCTCAGCAGTAAACAGTATTTAAACACCTACTAGGCGACTTTTCAAGGGTGATACAGTGGCTTCTCTAAAGGGCTGCCATAACACAACAGGTTTAGCAAAATGCCTTTGTTCCCCTGTGGCACCAGTAGCTACATCCTGAATTATAGCAAAATCAGCGTTAAAACTCTGCATTTTAAACATGTATATATGTAAGCACTTCTCCCTTAATCACATGCACTCTCAGGTTATGTTTCTCCCCAATCCCCTCTTGAGAAATCTCTGTCAATGATGATTCTGTAATTATCCCTTTCCCTGGGTTAAAACTGACCTTCATAAAAATGCTGAACTTATAGGAAAATGCAGTAACAGTGGAACAGTTTCTCTTTCTCTGTCTGCTTTATTATGTAGTTAATAGATTTGTGGAAGTACTAATAACCGAATAACAGTTTGAATACACAATGACATGCTATATATAGCCCAGGCCCAGCCTTCTGAATTTTTCCAACAGTAAGGAAAACTGAATAATATTAGCAACATGCCAGCAAGGGTGTATTTCTAAAATCCTTTAAAAAAAAAAAAAAACTAAAGAGGAAAATACTGTATATTTTTTTTTAAAAAAATACTGTATATTCGTACAGCTTGGTGGGTTTTCCACGTTCGAACAAGAGATAACATCAGAGGAAAGCCTGACTTGCTGCAGCAATTACACTATCTCATATTGAAGCCCCAACGTGAGTATCTTGGGTTTATAGCACAAGTGTAAATCCTACCTCAGCTGTCCCTTAAAAGAATCAGAAGTAGCCGGGCGCGGTGGCTCAAGCCTGTAATCCCAGCACTTTGGGAGGCCGAGGCGGGTGGATCACGAGGTCAAGAGATCGAGACCATCCTGGTCAACATGGTGAAACCCCGTCTCTACTAAAACTACAAAACATTAGCTGGGCATGGTGGTGCATGCCTGTAATCCCAGCTACTCAGGATGCTGAGGCAGGAGAATTGCCTGAACCCGGGAGGTGGAGGTTGCGGTGGGCCAAGATCGCGCCATTGCACTCCAGCCTGGGTAACAAGAGTGAAACTCCGTCTCAAAAAAAAAAAAAAAGAAAGAAAGAATCAGAAGTTATGGCAGCAGCTGCAACATGGTCCCCTCACTCTCCAGCCACTCGTGGTTTTACTAACTTTGGTTAACAGCTCTTTGTGAGAAAGAGTCATTTAGGAACATACATTCCATGTAAGAACTATTTCCTTATTTTGACTAAACTGCTTACAAATAGCATTCGCTCAGGCTCCATGAAGAATCTAAAGTTGATTTGTGTGCATAATCTGGGTGTCCTATTGACAAAGACATTCCCATATACACATAACCAATCCAGACTGTAACTAATGAAAACAAATGAAGGAACAGATCATTTGCATTCTTATAACTATAGAGCATCTAGCATTGTGTTTTGCACATTGTAAGGGCTCAATAGATATTCATTGATTTAAATTACTAGAATCTGTTCTCTGTCACTCCCAAAATCTCAATGTGGTTCACATACTAGAGTAATGAGTAAATATTCCTCTGCATTGCCTGGTGTAAATGGTAAAAATCAATGGCCTGGGTACCAAGTAAGCTAGGCTGACAAGGGAACCGTGGCCATTGCCAGTGTCCCCTAGAAGAGACTCATGCCAGTAAGTTTTTCCTGCTTTGCCACAGAATCAATGGTTAGGAAGGAGCCGCTGAAACTGCAATGCACAAAATTCTTTGGAAAACCTGAAAACATGAGAAAGAATGCTAATGTCAACTTTTAGCTGCTACTGTGGCAGGTCAAGTGCTGATCAAATCCCGGTGGAGGTTTGCTTAGCCCCATTTATTCTCTTGAGACATCTGTCCACCTACAGCTTTCTTCAAGTGTTGTGGTAGAAGGCCAGCCAACCCTGCTCAAGGAAGGTTTTTTTTTCTTTTTTCTCTGAATTTAGGAAAGCCTTCTCTGCTAGGTAGATTGAATCACTTGTTAACAATCACCCAAGATGAGATCCCTGGTATCAATGCTATGCACACAGCTTGCCTTTCTCCCTTAACTGGCTGTGATGACAGGCAAGGCTCCAATCTGACCTCAACAGGTCCTCACTCCAAAATCAGATTGAAACACACAGTAAGCCAAGTTCATTAAAATAACATTAAAGGTCTGGGGTTAGCTCCACTAAAGAGCAGGATTAAACTTTAAAGGGTCCAGCCACGATAAAGAGATTTCTTTAAAGTGACTTCGCTTTGCACAGTTGTAGCTATTAAGGATCAGATCTTTATCTCAAAGGTGCATAGTTTACCTTTGATCCTCCTCCAGAACTCCCACTAATGTCAACTTTCTCCACTGTTGGGATCAAGCCCCTGGCCTCCCTTTAATGCTGGTTTTATTGCTGACTCTACAAGATCAACAGAAAAATTACAAGAAAAAGCTGTGAAGTTCCCTTCCGATAACAAGTTGGTTTTAACAAAAAGAGTCCTCTCTTAAACAGTGCAATTTAAACATAGCAAATGACTGGCTGTAAGATGGAGCTGAGGGAGACAAAAGTAAACAAACAAAAACAACAACAACAAAACACACCAGAGTAACAAAACAAACACTAATTAATCAGTCCGACTGCTTATTTAGGGTTTGTTCCCTTGTTCAGGAAACTGGCAACGAGTGTCTTGAAAACAAGAGAAGGGGCAAGTGCCTGTTAGCACCACTCCGCCTTTCTTCAGAGTCAGACAACCGGATAAGGCTGAGGGTGCACTGGGAGGGTTCCCAGAGTCAGCGCGCTTTCGAATCCCCATCCCCCAGCCCCGAGCTGTGGGGCTCTGACCCCAGTTCCTCCATCCGTGGAGTGGCACACCCAGTCTTTCCCCAAATCCCCATGGCACTGTCCCCTTGCCTCTGGAGAGCTCACGGATGCCCGAGGGACACACTCTCCCAGCGGTGGATGACCCCGCGCCCACTCTGTCTTGGAACCCCGTTGTTTCTAATGCCCTCCCTCCGCAGCAGCACCCCTTCAACACCCATCACCACCCTCTCTCTCCCCAGTTGCAAGAGGAAGTCGCTCTGCTTCCTCTGTTCTCACCGCTCGCCCGAGCTTGGGCGCCCAGGGCTTTCTGGGTGGGGTTCTTTTTTGTGTACACGGTGTGTGTGTGCGCGCGCGAGTGTGTGTGTGCGAAACGCTCATCGCATCCTTCTTCCTAGGCTGCCTCAGGTGCTCGTAGGAGAGGATCGGGATCTCGTCGTGCCCTTGTCCCTGGCTCTTTGTGCCGAGTCCAGAGCTGAGCGAGGTCTGCTCTTTAGCTCACGCCCCCGGCCCGACCCTGGGTGGGAACCCCCACCTCCGCCTCCTCCACAGCCTTCCGAGCCCGGCTTTGCCAGTCGGCTCCATCCCGGCGCACGCCTCCGCAGTGCCAGGCGGCCGGAGCGCTGTCAGCGGGCACCTGGGATTCGGACTCCGGCCGGCGGCTGCCGGTGCGAAAACTTACTGGAGCTGAGAAAGAGAGCGCGCGGCGCACCGGGCGGCCGCCCCGGCGCCGTTCCTGCCCCCCGCCCCGCAAACGCGGGAAGCCACCGCGTCGCTCCCGCCTGGAGCACGTCCCCCGGGACGCCCAGTCCCCCGGCCACTCACCAGCACCACGGAGCCCCGCACGGCCTCCGACACGCTCTGCCGGAGCTCAGCGGCCGTGCCGGGCTTGCTGAGCCGTTTGGTGAATTTGCGCACTTCGGCCATGGCAGCGTCGGCGGGAGGGTCTCGGCGGGCGGGCGGACTCACTACCCCGAGCCCGGGCGGCAGCGGCCGCTGCTGCTCCGTCTGTTTACACGCCGTTTGGCCGGCCACATCGCAGCTCGGCGGCGGCGCGGCTCATGCTGCTCCTCCCTCCCACCTCCCACCCGCTGCTCCTCCCTCGTTCCCTCCTTCCCTCCTTTGCTCGCTCTCTTCGCCCGCTCACTGTCCGGCCACAAGGCGTCGGTGGCGGCAGCTCCCTCCCCTGGAGGGCCCGAGCTCTGCTCGGCTGCAGCAGAAGCAGGAGGGTGTGTCTGATGAAGAAGGGTGTGTAGAGGGGGAGGGAGAACTGGAGGTGGGGGCGAGGGTCACGAGGGAAGAGGGGGGAAGTGGCTACCGCTCGGGCTCCGCCCGCAGCTGATGTTGCTGTTGCTGGTGCAGCCGCATCCGGGTGGGGAGATCTGGTTGCTTTTTTTTCCGCTTGTGTGGGGCCGGCGGAGTGGGGTAGGGGAACAGAGCGGGGTGATGAAATGTCTCCAGGAGTGGGGCGTGCTCTACCCTAGTGCTCCTCTCCCGCCTCAGAACTGCAGTGCCCGCAGGAGGGCTGGGAACTCTCAAGACCCCCACCCCACAAGCCCCCAGGGCCCAGGCGGCTAGGGGCTGGGAAACAACGTGGATCGGCCGCCTTTTGTGTGCTCCGTGGGGACGGGTCGCACCATGTCTAAGGACAGAGAGCAGCTTTCCAGCGTGAGCGGCTCGCCTGGGTCCCCTTCCTAGCCCACACCGTTTTCTTACTCAGTCGGTTTACCTAACAAGGGGCAATCCTGGGACAGAGCATGCTTCTGGAAGTGGGAACTTATTGTGGCAGCACCCCTCGCTCCGCCCCCCACATGGGAGAGTTGGGTGTTGCGGCCGAGCCAGTGACAGGTGGTCCCTAGGTCAGCAATGACTGGGCCAGGAATGGGGTGGGGGTGGGGTGGCATTAGGAAGGCCATCTCCCTGGGGTTGGAGGACTTACCAAACTTCCAGCAGCTTTTACAAGTGGCCTGCACTCACCTCTCCATTTATTCATCTCCTTACCCTTTTCAGGTTCCAAGAAATTGTTTTTCCAAGAATCAAAGAACATCTCATAACAAGGTATAAAATGAACATGTTTAAGACAGAAATGGGAACGGGAATCTTGAAGTACTGGTGACCCTGTCAGACCTCCTGAAGTGCAGAGTGAAAGGCTCCAATGACGGTGGCAGTTTTCTATCTGGTTATTTCATTTGTTGAGAGTTGAAAATGGCCCTCAATCCGGAGAACCGAGCAGCCCTTTTGAAACGAGCCCTACCACTACCCATAGGTCACCTTCCCCACCTTCAAAGATCAAATAGTCTTTTGGGGGACTTTATTATGGAAACAAGGGTATGCCTGGTGATGGTTTCTGTGAACCCAGAAAAGGCCAACTCTCTTTGCAGCAAGCCTATTTCAGCCTTCACATCAGCCTCAATAAAGCACATATGGAGGCTCCTAGAGGGCCTGGGACCTGGAAGTCCTCTAAAAGCATTCTATCACAAGTCTTAGTTTTGCACAGTATGTGTAAAATTTGTTAGTTGTTGCATGTAGGCAGATCACCAACAATTCATACCCTCTGTTCCATAAATGCCTATGTGGCTCATGCTGCTGGTTACTGCCACAATAGCTAAAACACTTTTTTGCTTGCGAAGAGAGCCCAGGTTAACTTCAGGTATAGGGCAGAGCCACAGACTTTAGGGAACACAGGCCCAGCTCCAGGTGATGAATCATGACTTATGAAAAAAACATGATAAGCTCCCTCTTCTTGACTACTGGGATGGTCTAGACTCCCACTCAGTTTGGGCCAGTGAGATATAAGAGGGAAGTGAGAGAAGAGGGTTCCTGGGAGAGTTTTTCCACCTTGATTTTTTTAAAAAGAGGGAGGGAGTCCTGGGCCCCACTTTCTTCCTTAGAGGGATGTTTTCTTGCAATACTTTGGCTCTTGGCAGCCATATTGCAACTATGAGGCAAAGCCATCACAATCTCAGAGAAGCCAATCCAGAATGCAAACAGCATGGAACTATTGAACCAGGCCTGATAACTGCCTACCTCAGTTCCTTTTTATGTAAGAAAAATAACCCCCTAGGCTGGGTGCCGTGGCTCATGCCTGTAATCTCAGCACTTTGGGAGGCCGAGGCGGGCAGATAATAAGGTCAGGAGATCGAGACTATCCTGGCTAACACGGTGAAACCTCGTCTCTACTAAAAATACAAAAATTAGCTGGGCATGGTGGCACGTGCCTGTAGTCCCAGCTACTCGAGAGGCTGAGGCAGGAGAATTGCTTGAACCTGGGAGGCGAAGGTTGCAATGAGCCGAGATTGTGCCACTGCACTCCACCCTGAACCACAGAGTGAGACTCCATCTGAAAAAGAAAAAGAAAAAGAAACCCCTGCAGTTTATGCCACGTTTAGATAAATATTCTGTTACTTTCAGCCAAAAGAATCCGTAGCACCACAGGCTCTACGGTAGCCACTGAAGGTGCACAGCATTGAACAAGACAGGCAAGGTCTCTCCTTTCCTGGAGCTCACATGTGAGTGCAAACAAATGAACATGTTAATTTCAGAAAGATAAATGCTATGCAGAGAATTAAGGGGGGTTGATAGAGAGTAACTGGAGTTGGGGACCTAGTTTAAAACAGATGATCATGGAAAGCTTCTTTGAAGAGGTAAACATTGAGCTGAGTCTTGAAGAAAAAGAAGCAATCAGCAGGGATCAGCAGGTAGAGAGCTCCAGACGACAGGATGGCAGGAACAAAGGCCTAGAGATGGGAGCAGCCTTCGTGTGTTCAAAGACCAAAAAAAAGAGGCCAGTGTGGCTGGAGCATAGAAGGAAGAGGAATGGTATAAGATAGAGTAGGAGAAGTAAGCAATTTTTGCAGAGTCTTGTGAGCCACGGGAAACATATGTCACACTGATGGTGCACAAACACCATCTGGCCATTGTGCAGGCTCTATGCTCATTCTTGAGATTGTAGATTTCACTTTTTCTGGTTTAAGACTTCTATTTAAATACATAAACATTGAGCATGGTGCTACTCACTGAGAGAGAATGCAGTATGAATTAAAGACACTATCTATTCCCTTCTGGGAAAAAAGAAGAAAGTCTAGTAGAGAATGTATTTATGGTACAAAGTAGTATGTGATACAGACCATACTCAAGGTAAAGAGGCAGAAGAGGCCAGGTGCAGTGGCTCACGCCTGTAATCCCAGAACTGTGGGAGGCCAAGGTGGCTGGACCACCTGAGGTCAGGAGTTCAAGACGAGCCTGACCAACATGGTAAAACCCTGTCCCTACTAAAAATACAAAAATTAGCCAGACGTGGTGGTGGGCGCTTGTAATCCCAGCCACTTGGGAGGCTGAGACAGGAGAATTTCTTGAACCCGGGAGGCAGAGTTTGCACTGAGCCAAGATTATGCCATTGCACTCGAGCCTGGGCAACAAGAGTGAGACTCTGTCTCAAAAAAAAAAAAAAAAAAAAAAAAAAAAAGAGGCACAAGAGATCATATCTGGTTGGGGTCTATGAAAGGCTTTCTGGAACAGGGTGTGTTTGAGCTGGACTTTGCAGAATGGGTAGGATTTGGATATAACTACACTCACACGGTAAAGGGAAATTGTAGGTGCAATCTTATAACTTCCAATAGGGCATTTTATTGGGTGATTTCCACATTTATTAAATATCTTTGGTTTTTACCACAAATTTAGCTGCTGCATTAACACTGTCTTAATTGAACCTGAGATACAAGTATTAGAAATGCCATTAAGCCCTTTGACTGAGAAATTCAACTCCTATAATTCAATGCCAAATAAAATAAAAACTTTTTAAAAAGATTTCTAATGGCCAGGTGCAGTGGCTCACGCCTGTAATCCCAGCACTTTGGGAGGCTGAGGCAGGAGGATCATTTGAGGTCAGGAGTTCGAGACCAGCATGACCAACATGGTGAAACCCCATCTCTACTAAAAATACAAAACATTAGCCAGTTGTGGTGGCACATAATCTCAGCTACTCTGTAATCTCAGCTACTCTGGAGGCTGAGGCAGGAGAATCACTTGAACCCGGGAGGGGGAAGTTGCAGTGAGCCGAGATCATGCCACTGCACCCCATCCTGGGTGACAGAGTGAGACTCCATCTCTAAACAAAAAATAAATAAATAAATAAATAAAACCAGCCTGCTCAACATAACAAGACCCCATCTCTACAAAAAAAAAAAAAAAATTAAAAATTTCCTGGGCATTGTGGTACATGCCTGTAGTCCCAGCTACTCAGGAGGTTGAGACAGGTGGATCCCATGAGCCCAGGAGTTTGAGGCTTCAGTGAGCCGTGATTGCGCCACTGCACTCCAGACTACGTGACAGAGCAAGACCCTGTCAAAAAAAAAAGTTTTCTAATAGCTGTGTTTCATATCAGTTTTTGTATTTAAGTATAAATTAACTAAAATTACAAATTAATTTCCTCAGTCACATGAGCTACATTCATGTGCTCAATAGCCATCTGTGGCTAGTGGCCACAATGTTGGACAAGGCAGGGCCTAGAACAGTGCCCAGCACCTAAGGGTCACTCAATAATTATTATATACCAATTGTGTGCAGCTTTTCCAATCAGAATATATTCATGATGACGTCAATGTGATAAATAAAGCAAAACAAAAGTAATCTTGATACCATGTTCACTTCCGTGTATTGTTGAGGCATTTATCACAACCAAACTATAATTGTGGAGAGCGGTATGGTCTTCAAAGCATATTTATATCCATTATCTCATTCAATCTTCAGACCAATCTGGAGAGGTAGACAGAGCCAAGATTATTTTTCCCCATTTTACAGATGTAGGAACCAAGTAAGATAAGTCATACAGTAGTTGGCAGGGCCAGAAACAGAAGCCAAGCCTTTTAGTTCTCTTTCAGATACACGACATGGCATTGACTAACCTGAAGGGCCCTGAGAGAACCTCCATCTTACTTTAATTCTATGCGGATCCATTAGTCATGAATTTGTAGTGAGATTGTCATATACGTTGTATCTGTCAGATAACTGTATATTGTTAGATATAACATATGCAATATATAAGTATTTGAAAAAGTTAAAAGCACTATTGCAATTATAAGATATTTTAAATAATATAAACCTTATTGAATATATATTAATTGCCTATTATACCACTTGGAATAATGAGAGTTTCCTTGTTTCCCAAAGTCATCACCTTCTTTCTCACTTTTTTATCCTTCAAAGGGATATTTAGAAAATAATATTAAAAACAT